ATGTTTGCTATAAGTATTCGCCAATTATTTTAATGAATTAATTATTTTATGATTATTTGATTTTCATTTTTTATATGATTTAATCAATTGATACAAATTTTATGTAAAATAAATTTCATAAATTAACAATTATTAATAAAAGTTATGTATTTATTAGAAAATTAAAAAAGTTTAAATTTTCATTTTTTGTAATAAATTTTTTCCAATTTTCATAAGTTTTATGGAAAAAACTTTAACTTATTCTCTGATTAGTTATCAATGATAACATCAAACACTTAATCATAGATTATAATTCATAATCTAATGTTTAAATATTTTCAATCAGTGAATCACACAATCAAACTAACAAAAAAAACTGGTATTTAATCAAAGCCTTAGTCTTTTTGATTAAACGTGGTTTTCATTTGTAAAGTATTTAACGTTTTCATTGTCTGTTTTTTACGACAATTATAGGTATAATTATAATGAGTGTTAACAAAGGATTTACTGTTGAATCAATTGATTTGAAACACAATTATAATAAGAAATATAATTATAATAACTCATTGAAACGGAAAGGCTTTGTTGTGACAAATGTTTGCAATGAAACCAATGTTTCAAACACTTTATGTTTTTATTGTACGCTTCAGTCGGCCATCAATTCAGGCCATCAGCACAGCGAGAGGTGCCGTCGACTCGTGAAGCGTTTGGTTAAGACACACGAAGACATTCACATGGCTTTGTGGGACGACATGAAGATTATACGATACGCAAAGACAGTCAATCCTGGCGTCACTTTTGACAAATTGATCCGCGAATTCACCCCATTCTTCGAGGAGTTGTCTCTTATTCACAACGATATGAATAAATTGAAGTCTCTGTTGAATTGCATGGAGTTTGACGGCCCGGACGTCGTCGACAATGACTGCACCGGCGATGACAACCACTCCGGCGCCGGTAAAGGAGTCAAAAATAACGACCGATTGGTGGCGAGACTTAAATGGCTGGTCCGGGTCTTAGACTCTTTGGTCGGTGTGGCGCTGACAATGACCACCGATGACGCCAATCAATGCATCCATGTTTGTGGCCAATCCGTAGCCGCTCAACACTTTGCCAAACAACTGGGCCAACTGGCGGCGGGCCGGCGATTCGCTGGATGGCAACCAGAGGTCAAAGTTCAATCAGGTAACTTGTATTTTTAACCACTATTTGTTCACTATATCGAGACATGTGTTATAACAAGTGATTTGTGTTGTGTATACACTATAGGAGATGAGACGCGCGGCGCCAAGAAGTTCAAGAGAAGCGATGATAACCCGGCGGCCAAATAAAGGCGCTGTCAGTGACGGCTACGGGTAGTGAAGGGACGGAGGGTTTGGATGAACCAAAAGTGGTGATTGACTTGAATGTGGCGAAAGTGAATCATTTGAGAAAATTTCTATTATTATAATCAATACAAATTAATTTTGTCTACTTTTTTGTTTATTTTTCTAATTTATATTTAATTAATTTTTCTATTAATAACTATTGTTTTGCGTTGACTTAAATTAATAATTTGAATAATAATAATATAATTAATGAAAATTGTTTGGGATTTTTATAAATTTTCAATTATTTTGTGTGAATAAAAAACTTGATAATTGTGATGAAGTTTTACTACGAGTTTGAAAGCCGTGTGCAAAACGTGGTAAATGTAGTGCAAGTATTGCAACACAAAAGTGTGTAAACATTGAAAACATGTGTTTATTGTTATGATTACCTGAATGTGTTTTATTCAACAATTAGTGATATAATGAGTAATTATTATTAATTTATAATTAAATCAATTGATTGTAAACTAAATTATAATAAGAAATGTAATTACAAATCATTGAAAGCAAAGGGATTTATAATTACAAATGCTATCAAATAAATCAATGTTTCAAATGATGTGAAAAATAGTAATTTAAATGTTATTTCATTAAATAATAATAAAATTAATTCTAATAATAATTGTAATGAAAATAATTTAATGAATTGTGTGTTAAATACGAGTGAAATGAATGGCAAACGAGTGTCAAGTGATAAATGTATGCAAAGTATTGAAACAATTGATATTTTAAATGATTATTACATTGATGTTCAAAGTTGTGATAATGTAGTTAATAATAGTTATAATAATAGTAATAGAGTTAATAAAGGGTTTATAAATCCGGTTAACATTAATACTAATAATAATGTTAATAATAAATGTCTTATAAGTGATTCTCCGTTACATCTATTGATTCCGTATCCGACTGTTGGGCCAAAAGAGAAACAATTAATAAATGACAAGAATATTAATGTAATTAAAGGAAAATTTAGTTCATATGAGACGGAAATCTTGCGAAACAATTGGCAAACATTTTGTGATGAATTCAATTGCAACAAAGACGTGAAAACACGTTTATTAAGGTTTTTCTCCCGAAGTGTTAAATACAGTAAAATCGATAGAAAAAAGTTTCGCGAATTTATGAAACGTGAAAAGTTTTACCTGAGATTAGGCTATGGTTTGCCTAACCGTACGATTGAACAGATCTATACGACGGCGAAGATTAAGTTTAATTCATTGAAAGGGTTTAAGGATTTGGGATTAAATGAGAGGAAGAATATAAAAACATTGCATTCAATATATGGCAACAAATGGACTAAAATTGCCGAAACATTTCAATGCAAACCCATTGTAATTGAGTCTAATATTAAGGAACATTATAACATCTCTGGACAGCCCTATGATAAGGGAATCTTCACTCCCGATGAAGACTTACGGCTAATAAATGCCATGAAATCGGTGTTAAATACCGAAGACTTAACACAACATATATTTGATAAAAATATTAAATATAAAGAAGTGATTGATTTATCACAAGTGAATAGAAGTGAGAGTAATGTTTACAGGCGTTGGAATCGCATTCTTCGGTGGAAAATCGCAAACTTTGATCAATTGGTGGACAAGTGGTCAATCAAAGAGACATCAAAATTGATTTATTGTTTATTTAAATATAATTTTGACGACGAGTTGTCCATCGATTGGGATTTAATTAAAGAAAAGTTTGAGACAATTTCGTCATTTAATAATTTGATGAAAAATTGGCGGATTATTAAGACAACTGTTCCCGAGTTTGAGACCAAATCATACAAACAGATCATTGGTTTTCTTTACGACAACTTTTTGCCACAATTTTTGAAAACTGATGAAGACTTACGAGAATTGGAGGAATTTTTTCAGAATTAAAACTTTGTAAAGACTTATCATTTGTTGTATTGAATACTATTTAATGACTATTTATAAACTCATTGTAAACATGTATTCAATTTATTAATTACTTTTTAGTTGATTTCACTCAAATAACTGTTACAATTATAATTCTATTCAATCTATGAATAAAATATATTTTATTTGTGAAATAAAACTAATAAAATAATTATTTATAAATATTTATGAAGTTAAAAGTGCCGACTATTCACAACACCTGTTCCTAAAGCACTTGTGCCGCACATATCTGTCCAGACATTAACCGCGAGTGTTTGCCGACGATATGGTGACCAACAATGCTCTGTCCATAGAGTTGACACACTTTTGCCTTAAAAAGATAATCACCTTTTAGGTGCTATACTTGTTATTAGTAATACTAATTAGTTATTATTAATTATTAATAAACTTATTAATAATAATAATCAGAAATTGTTGATAGATTTTCCAATTCTCATGAGTCTAACAACATTGTAAGAAAAACTCAAACTTAATCTCTATGATTAGATTATATATCAAACACTAAATCTTGATCTAATGTTCAAATATTTTTTATGAGAATCACACAATCAAACAAAAAACTCATGGTATTTAATCATCGCCTTTGCATTGAGTCGATGACATTTTAATAGCACAGTATTAGCTCTCATTTGTTTCATTGCTGTCAATAATTATAGCAAATATTTAATATAAAATTAGTTTTTAATTATAATTTTTATCTTAAATTGAATACAACTTTTATTGAAAGACTATTTGAATCAAACCATTCATAAAATCACTTCATTTGAACGCAAGTTATGGCACAACAGATCACAACAACGATGACAAAACTGGAGACCAGGGATGAGGCCATCAAACGACAGGTATTTCAAAAACTATTTAGTGTTTATTGAGTTTTAATTGTGTTTTTTGTCTCACGTTTTAGCCAACGATTTACCCCAAGAACTCATTCGATCGATACGGCGACGACTTGTGTCAACTCCTATTGTCTTACCTCACATTTGAAGACCGATTCCGCTGCGAATGTGTGTCCAAACAGTTCAAGAGGACTGTCTTCGCGAGTGTTATCGACATCCAAATCAGTGATCGCCTCATAAAACAGATTCAAGTTTTAAAACAACCAATTCATCAAATAATGGCCACAATTGCTATGAAGTGCCCGAAGCTTGAGATCATTGACTGTCGAGGATTAATCCTGAAATATGACGACAACATTCCTGAAGTATTGGGCATTTTTCGGGACAATTGTCCGCATTTACGGGACATTTACATGAATTTATTGCCAAATTGTGGCCAATTATTGACCGAATTTGGACAACTGGTCACCCGAATGGACGATAATAATTGCTATACAACCTATGAGGGGGTCAATGCTTGTCAAGGATTGTCACACTTGGGTTTGTTGTGTTGGCCTAAGAAGACGACCACCGGTTTCGACCTAACATTTATCGCAAATGTACGCAAACTCGAGATCTACTCACTTACCGACGATTACGGCGCTAACCGCCGCTGGGCTACACTCGTGGCCGAGAGTCGGTGCCTCCAGAGTCTGGCCTTAAGCGACTGTTATTGTGATTCCCTATTTATGACCGATTTGTGCCAACAATTGCCGCGATTACGGCAATTACGGGAACTGACACTCGAGTTGGCAACGGATGACACACCGGACGGCCATTCAATGTTTAACCAGTGTTTGCGCACAATTGGCGTGAATTGCAAACAATTGCAACGATTGTCACTCACTATGTATTTCAATGACGCCGACGACCCCTCACTCCCCATATTATTGGATTCGTTGAGAGTTTATTCACGATTAAAACGATTGCAATTAACACTCAAAGGTGTTGTCGCTAATGGTTTGTTGGATCCGTTGAAACACTTCAAGAGATTAACGCATTTAAAGTTAGATTTAACGGAAGTGAACGCAAATGTGTTGAAAGATTTCCCTATTAAGTGTCGGCGACTTCAATACCTATCCATCAGTTATTATCACATGACTCGCGAGTGTTTGCCTCACATCTCAAGACTACCGGCGCTGCAAACGCTTGTCATTGAAAGCCCTAATATTATGGATTTCTCGGGCAGTGATTTGTCGGTTGTGTTGACCAAAAGTCCAAAATTAAAGTCCATTGAAGTCATTGAAGATTTAAGAAAATTCAAAGCGAAATACACATACTTTTACCGCATAAATGATTTAAAATTATAAATTTAATACTTTAACAATTAGTTTTATTATTATTAATTCAATTATTATTAATGTTTTATTTAGTACTTTTTAATTGCTTTTATTTTTATGTTTTATCTAATATCACTTTTACTAAAATGTTTTAATTTGTTTTAATATATGGTATTAAATATGCAAATTAATATTCAACCATTTATAAATATAATTAAAATTAGTTATTTCTCAATTTTAAATAAGTAAATAATTTTATTGTAATAATAATTAATAAATATTTATTAATGAATAGTTTATAGTTGTATATAAATGTTGTTTTGGATTTTATAAATTTTAATTATTTTGTGTGAATAAAACTTGATATTTATGATGAGATTTTACCACGATTAATTAAAAAGCCGTGTGCATAACGTGGTAAATGTAGTGCAAGTATTGCAACACAAAAGTGTGTAAACATTGAAAACATGTGTTTATTGTTGTGTTTGTTATGATTTGATTGAATGTGTGTTTCGTATGATTATTGATATAATGAGTGGTTATAAAGGATTTACGATTAAATCAATTGATTGTAAACTCAATTATAATAACAAATATAATAAGAAATTAATGAAACGAAAAGGTTTTATAGTTACAAATGTTTGCAAACAAATTAATGGTTCAAATGGCGTGAAAAATAGTGATTTGATTGTGAATTCAAACAATAATAACATTAAAATTAATAATAATTGTAATGAAAATAATTCAATGAATTGTGTGTTAAATACGAGTGAAATGAATGGCAAACGAGTGTCAAGTGATAAATGTTTGCAAAGTATTGAAACAATTGATATTTCAAGCGATTATAACAATAGTGCAAAAAGTTGTGATAATTTAGTTAATAATAATTATATTAATAATAACGCTATTAATAAAGTGATTGTGAATTCAGTGACCACTTGTGATAATAGTGTTAATAATAAATGTCTTATCAGTGACTCTCCGTTACATCTCTTGAGCCCAACGCCACAGTTTAGGGCAAAACACAGACAATTAATAAAAGACAATAACATTCATGTAATTAAAGGGAGTCTTAATTCACAAGAGACTGAAATCTTGCGAAACAATTGGCAAACATTTTGTGATGAATTCAATTGCGATGAAGACATGAAAACACGTTTATTAGGGTTTTTCTCATTAAGCGTTAAATACAAGAAAAGCAATAGAAAAAAGTTTATAGATTTCATGAAACGTGAAAATTTTTACCTGAGATTAGCCAACGGTTTGCCTAACCGTACGGTTCAAGACATCTGGCATAAGGCGAGGGTTAGGTTTAATACATTGAAATCTGCAAAGGAATTGACCACAAATGAGAGGCAGATAATAAAGACATTGCATTCAATATATGGCACCAAATGGACTAAAATCGCCGAAACATTTCAATGCAAACCCAGTGCAGTAGAGCTCTGTATTACAGCCCATTATAACAACTCTGGACAGCCCTATGATAAGGGCTATTGGACTCCCGATGAAGATATGAAACTTATAAATGCTTTAAAATTGTGGTTAAATACGGATGACTTAACACAACATATATTCACTAAACATATTAAATTCACAGAAGTGAGAGATTTAGCACAAGTGAATAGAAATGCGAGCAGTGCTGCCATTCATTGGAAACAATATCTTCGGTGGAAAATCGCAAACTTTGATCAATTGGTGGACAAGTGGTCACTAAAAGACACTTTAAAATTGATTTATTGTTTATTTAAATACAATTTCGACGACGAGTTGTCCATCGATTGGGATCTCATTAAAGAAAAGTTTGAGAAAATTTCTTCATTTAATAATCTAATGAAAAATTGGCGCATAATTAAGACAACTGTTCCCGAGTTTGAGACCAAATCATACAAACAGATCATTGGTTTTCTCTTCGATAACATTGTCTCACAATTTCTCAAAACTGATGAAGACTTACGAGAATTGGAGGATTTTTTTCAGAGTTAAAACATTTAGCAACTTATCATTTGTTGTATTGAATGCTATTTAAACTCAATTTGTAAACTCATTGTAAACATTTATTTAATTCTTATTTATGTGTAAATGTGTTTAATTACACTTTAATCTTAAAATAAACTTAACATTTAATTCAATTGAATACAAAATTGCATTTATTTAGAAATCAATAATTATAAACAATTAGTTGTTAAACTTTTTGCCACAAACTCTGAAAACTGATGAAGACTTACGAGAATTGGAGAACTTTTTTCAGAGTTAATACTTTTTTAAAAATTATCATTTATTGTAATGAATAATATTTAATCACATTTTATAAACTCAATTATAAATACATTAAAATTTTTAATCTATTTGATTATTAAACTAATTCTAAGATAAATTGAAATACAATTACATAAAAGATTAAACTAGAAGTTTTGTTCTGTGAAAAACTATAAGTTATAGTCTATAAAATACTTATTTTAAAATTCATTAAAAACTAATTAAACATTTATATAATAAACTTGTGAAACAGTAATACATAACCCTGTGATCAATGCAAATGAGACAAATGTGCATTTGATGGCAAAAATCATAGACATTTTGTTGGCCAGTGGTGTAGATCCCGATGTGGAGGACTCAGTATTATCACTGATGGCAACAACCTCTTCGTCCGCTACCGAGTCGTTCAATAAGTGAATCTCTTGTCCTTCAAATCGGTCGACGATAGCATAATTGCCGTCACTTTTCATTGAAATAGTTGTCATAAACTCCGAAGTATTGGCCAAAACGTCCTCAAAATAGGTGTCCACTCGAAGGGCGGATATGTCTGCCGACGCCTTACAGATGGGACACAACCACTGCGACTGCCATTCATTGGCCGCGAAGAAGGACTGGCCGTCAAAGCACTCAATGTGCTGACAGTGTACTGTCCGGCAGGGGATCCGCAGTCGGAGTTGACTTATCTATAGAAATAAAACATTAAAACTTAACAACATTTTAATCGCCGATACCTTCGGGCCATAAATACTGGACAAATGAGCGACACTTGTATGCAGTCATCCAATACACTGATCCCAACATCGCTTGAATTGTGGCCAACTTTGCGGCGAATCAACTCTTTAGTCAAATCGGCGGACAATCGGTGGTCGGAAGGGATGGTCAGGGATTCAACAAACGCCTGCGCTGTCAGTTCGGCCACAATATTGACCTCGAAAAGTGTGGGCAAATCGTATTCAGTGGTCGGGGAGGACAGGGAGAACCGCATGTCGTTGAAACCCCATCGACACCATTGGCTCACGTCGTACGGCCGGTCCCACCGCTGCTGGCCATCAGTCTTGTGAGTGTAGACACGAGTGCCGTTCAAAGTAATACACAAGCCTTCGGGCACCGAGTCTTTGGCCCCCCTTTCGGCCGTATGACTGAACCGCAGTTGTATTTGCCACCGATTATTGGCCAAAATGGTGGGCAAAACCGTGTCCGCAGCCAATGATAGTCCGGGAAAGTGGTGGTTACAGAGGAGGAATGTGCGGAGCTTCACTGAAAAGACACCAAAAATGTTTAAACATTTTTTTGCCTAAAAAAAACGTTTAAACATTTTTTTGACATGAAATGCGTTTATAATGTTTGCCAACAGATGTCTCACTAAAAGTTTGTGAATTGAAAGCCAATCGCAATGACAACGTGTTTTGAATCAATGCTTTCATATCTCCAATGAGTTTCACATATATTTGCAGAAAGACTTGACATTAAGACAATTCTCGAAGAACTCAATCAATTGTCACCACAAGAGGTCTACCGACTTGAAGAGCTCGAGAGTGAACTCAAGTAAGAGGCAAATAATGAGAGGGATAGCCGTCGTGAACAGTTCAGTTCAGACGGGGACTCGACATGATTCCCGAAATGGTTGTGTGTCTGTTGTCTTAATACATATTTTATTCATATAATGGCAAAATACATAGGTATGCCTCCGACTGGACTCGACTCGAACTATGATAGTGCCGAATATCAAGATGTTATGACAAATGAGTTGATTTCAAGCACCAAAGAGTTGGAGAGCGGAAACATATGGAAAAATCGCATAGAATTGGCCATCGATTTCGTAAATATTGACTACAAAAGACATTTTTATGGCGATCGGGAGATTATTGCTTAAATCGACCACAACTACCATCACATCCGGTGTCTCTGATATTGTATTTAACTTTAAGATTAATTAGTAATTTAGTTAATAGATTACGACTACAAACTGAACTGTTCAGTAGCCATACAATACAATTATACATTATTTATAATTAATGTTTTAATGTAATCAATAGTATTTAGTTTAAGACTACAAACTGAACTGTTCAGTAGCCATACAATACAATTATATCTGATTTGTAAAACAAATAAATATTCGAGTATTTTTAAATGTTTGATTATTTCCAAATAAATGTTTGAATATTTTTAAATAAATGTTTGATTATTTCCAAATAAATGTTTGAACATTTTCAAAACATTTTCAACTAAACGTTTAAACATTCTCAAAAAAATGTTTGAACATTTTTAATAAAACGTTCTAACATCGTGTCAAAAGTATACAAAACTGTATGAAGGAACATTTTTCTCTGTGTGTTCTAATATTTTTTTTATTTGAGTGTTGGGTTTGGTAAGTGACGCCAACACTTGCGGCTCATGTAACCGCTTTACGACCGTATACTTCGGTAATGGTCTGAATGTATAGTTAGTGAACATCTTTTAGCCACAATTGTCGCGCAAAGTGTTGGCCAATGAATTGATGACAACGTCTGAAGTATTAAATAAATTGTTACATAAAATCAAAGGAAACAATAGAAATAAAACACGTTTTCAATGTTTTCATTAAAATACTGTATTGACAGTACATTTACCACGTTTTGCACAAGGCTTTCAAACTCATGGTAAAACTTACTCAAAATTATCAAGTTTTATTCACATTAAATTATTAAAAATATTTAAATTTTATTAATAATAAACAATATTATATATAATCAGAATTAACAAACAACTTATAATAAACTATACAATAAGTT